TTGCACTTGGATGCTTTCGCTCTTCCACTTACACTGGGGTACGTATAGCGTTCATGTTGTAGTGCAAGTGTGGTGGAAGTGTCAGTGTGTAAGTGTAAGTGTCGAAGTGTCAGTGTTCAAGGGATTTTCCGGAAGAACCCGTCGCAATGCTTTTGGGAAAACCGATAATACGACATAACTTCACGCATCGCTTTATACATGCACAGATGCATGTTGTCAATGGCAGCATGTGTCGCGATTAGGTTTACCTGAGACTATCAAAGATGCTCTAACCGCTGCCACGCCCTATGTATGACAAAACCTGTTGGTTTTGGCTGTGCAGGTTACCAGCAAAGCATAGCAGATGTGACGCCGCCAACTACCAGCCACATATTTTCTGATGTCACCAGACAGCGATTGCCCCAGAATTGCGTGGAAACAAACTTTGAGTGCGAGAAGCAGTCGGAATCTAGTCTCATTGAGGACGTTGAATCCTGCATATCCAGCGAACTGGATACTGGTCTACCCGATCATAGAGGTGCAACGATAAAACAATCCCACATCATATTCTTCACAAGCTCCGCGGACTCCAGGGTGGACCTCCGTCAGTGGGCATTGTTGCCGAGTTGGAGCTGTGGCGACCCCAGAAACCTGGTTATTCGGAGGGAATGCAGCACGAAACGCTCATGTTGAACACGACATGTTTTGGTTGAACATGTGCATGAAGTATTGCTTGAAAGTTTGTCTAAAGGCTCTGCTTCGACGGTTTCCTAATTTTTTGAAATGGTGGAGAACATGCAAAGTGATAAAGGACTCAAACATATGCAAAACGATAGGAACTTTTTCTATGTTGCTCGACAACAATTGAATACCTCAAGGTATGATGATTCTGGAGCAGTCCCATCTCAGCCTGAGTTTGATTCTGTGGATTTCACAGATGAGGACAATCCGGTAGTTTCCAGTGCAAGGATTTGCTTGCTGTTTAGTTACAGCTACAGTAGTTTGAAAGCGTGTAACATCCATTGTAGTGGAGATGACAAAGAACCTTCCACAACTGTGCCCGCACAGGACCCCACTGGAGGAAATGTGAGTGGTACAGTTAGGCAACGATTGGTTTTGTTTTGCTTGCTCACAATGAATGAAGCGTGAAACCATTTCAAAGTTTGGAACCAACATTCGCTGCAATTCAATTCGAGGTGGGTGCCCAAAAATGATTCCGATCTGGCCTACACAACACATTATGTGGTGTTCATTGCACAAGATGAGGCCAGATTTGTACAACTTGTATGGATTTTGACACCAAAACGAGGTTTAGTGATTTTAGATTGCTTAGCACAACCAGCATCTTGGGCCAGAACAGGCTGGCAACAATCCGGTGCAATTTGGCGATCCTGTACCTGTTGGTACCAACGAAGTCACCCCTGCAGGCTTGGCTGACAAATAGTAGTGCTTGTTTATTTACTTGTAGTGATTACTGACATTTCATTGTATTTTTACATGATGACTTAAGATAAACTTGACTCTCTGACCCACAGCGCAGGCAGTGTAACAATCAACGCAAACTACCATGCTTTGAGCTCGGGCGCTGACACTTCAGATCAACGATACAGGATTCAGATAGGCATCTTTTCTTGACGTTTCAGTGTTGAGAATATTTGATCCAATGCAAGGAGCAGGCACAATTGACAGTTATGCTTTTGCCCCCAGTTTTGGTCCAACTATGTAGGTTTAGTAGGTCCAGGTGAGGTATTTCGACCTAGCTGCGTTTTGACGACATGCATCGCTGTTGCATCAGCACACCGGACGAGCAGCCAATCCATTGTTCTGCAAGCTCCACTTATGGTCCAGTACTGTGTCGTATCTCTCGAACGACTAAGTTGAACATTCGAGTTTGGTCAACAGCACAGGTCCTGGTCTATGCCACAAACACTTATTCTGGCAAGAGCACTGCAGGCCGCCTATATTCTGTGGGGCTCAAGGGGAAAGATTTTGTCAATTGCATACTTCTATCTCGTTCTGACCTGTACTTTGCAGATTTTGCAGGCTGCATAGGAACGCCGTGTTCCTCCCAATCGTTTGTGTTCAATGATGACGGATCCACAACCAGCACGAGCAGGACGCAATGACCCAAGTACAGATAGAGAAGACTTGTGTTCACCAACTGAGTCAGCAAGCGCTTTATCACTTCTTGTTCCTGTTTGTGCAATGGAGATCAGGTCATCAGCCACGTCAAGCACCACTGAAATGGCCTCAGGGGCCTTGTCGAGTGTTGTCAACTCCTGCTTTAAGGTTTCCATCCGATTTCTGGAAAGGTCACAACTTGGGACAGTCACAGACGGTTCACTGCTTCAGCGCGCAGTTTTTCTAGGATTCTGGGTCAACTCTTCCAGGTTACTTCAACTAGCACATCGTTGACCTTGATCCACAGCTGCAAGAGGAAAACGAAGAGATGTCACAAACGTTGACCTGACATGAGTAATTTCAGGGTTGTAGCAATCTTGAACAGCTTGACAATGAACTCTTAGCCCAACTATCTCTAGAGATGATGGACAAAGATGTTGACATGAGATCAACTAGTTGTGGATGCTTGCTATTAAGGACGACATCCCTGACGAGCACATCGACGAAAACCACCCAGACAACCACCTCAGTGACTGGAACAACAGAAACTGGCACTTCATTCACATTCACGACACGGACCACCACAACATCTGAAAGCACCACTCGGACGAGTATGACAAGTTCCTCTAGCGCGACAACGTCAACGACCAGGACAACGACTCTTACGTCAACAAGCTCCACAATAAGCTCAACGAGTTCCACAGTCACCACGGTGACGACAACAACAACAATTACTACCTCTGTTTCCACCACATCCACGAGCATCACAACCAGCAGCACAACGCTTACCAGTAGCACATCCAGCACCCAAACCAGCAGCAGTAAAACCACAACTGTCACAACCAGCACTGCCACCACGTCTACCACGGTGAGCTTCTTGGCTGATATGGAAATGCTTTTGTTCTCTGAACATGTGCCGCAGCACTGTTTGGGTTACAAAGCTCACCTAGGTCCATGTTACTTTTGGGGATTGAGTTGCAGAATTACAACCCAATGGTCGCAGCGGAATTTCTGCATAAGTTTCTTCATGCCCAGTCAACTGATTGCGAACATTCACTAGAGCCACTAGAGGATGAAACGCCGAATCTACTTGTGATACGAGCAAATACGAGCCATATTCTACAGTGCCGCTACCTGTCAAATTGCCTTTTGCTGTTGTTTTTACTCGTGCTCTTCGCACTCCATAAGAGGGCTGATGTTGTAAAGCCGGTTTGCAGGTTTGCTGTGTAGAAGGTTTATGTAAAGCAGCCCTGGTTTGCAGGTTTCGGGCGTTGCACAGGTCTTTGGTTTTGCCAAGGCATCACGGGCACATCCAGTCCTGAAGACTTGGCCATTACTGCTTCAGTCCCTTGGCTTGCATTGGCTTGGGGATTCCTTCAAACAGGCATATTCAGTTTCCACAAACAGTCTCTTCATTACCTCCATTATTTTGCTTTTTAAATATGCTACAAATGCCGCTTTGGATCCAACAGCCATGTGACAGGCTGCGGCCAAGCAGGAAGCTCTGAATGCCAACAAAGGGACTGAGGTCACTCAGAGAGTGAAGATGTGGTGACTCCATGGGTTTGGTCTTGTGATGATGTCATTTTCATCATCATGTTAGCTGAAGTTGATTTGTGATACAACAGCAGCTGAATGTCCGCAGTAAGTCAGACGACCTCTCGTGTCAGGAAGCTGACAGGCTAGCTGCACAAGCCCTCGGGCACGTTTACGCCACGATGTTGGCCTACAACGAGAGCCAGACTGCAAGTGAGCAGGCCATTTCACACCAAGCTCTTTCAGAAGGCAACCTTGTAGACCCTATTGTTTGAGCAGGTCTCTACTTTATGTTTTTCGTTGGTATTGCTTCAGCCCACACTGATGACAGGTGCTCAAATGATCACCCTCCCAGCCTTGCAAGTCCGTTTATGCAAATTCCCAATATCTTCCAGCAAGGCCGTGTGAGAACATGATTCCCAGACAGATCGACCAACCCAACCCAGGAAGAAGGCTTGTGGGGGAGGCAAAACTAGGGGGCACCCCTTTAAGAGGCCGCGCGTTAAAGTCGGGGGAGATTTTGTGGGGCAAGTGGTCCAAAACTGCCGCCAAGAGTTGGCCCGCATTGGGGAAAAATGTTATTTCGCCACAGTGCGGTGTCCATTTCCTACAAAGGGCTTAAACAAGAGTTGGTGGTCCTAGGAAAGCCAAGATGAAGATGGAGAGGATGAAACACAGATGAAGTCTGATGAAACGAATATGAAGTAGATGAAGTGACGATGAAGTGATTGAAACGAATATGAAGTGACGAGATCAAGAAATCATGAAGGCGATGAAGAAACAACATGGTGACATTGATGATCAAAACGCATGTCGATACCCCCCACCCACCCCACCCACCGAGAACGCAGATACACCGGGTGTTGTGCATGAGAGATGTGTCTCTTGAGCCTTGGGAGGTACTGCCGATCACCGGCGGGTCATGGGTCGATCACCACACATACCAACACAAATACCCCACGCCTCCCGCGCTTCGTACCTCCGTGAAATGGAATGCCGTCCCACCGAAAACTTGCTGAGCAAAGACAGTTTTTGTTCACCAAAAAGGCCTTTGCCTCCCAGGGCTCACGACAGGCCTACATGTCCCCGTTTTTGTCCATGGTCGGTCTCTGGACCAGGTCGTTAGTATGGCTTCGGCTGCAGATGCCCTTGCAGAGCAAATAGCGATGACATTAGAGCAGCAGGCAGTGGCAGCAGCACAAGCAGCTATCACTGCAGGCAGAAGGAACAACATGACGCAAGACGCTAGTCTGCTAGTCAGCCACTGACAGTTTTAAAAAGAATTGCATTTTTGGTTTGGTTGGCGAGCGCCTGTCCTGTGTTGTTTTCATACAAATTGGAATCAGGAACAGCTCCGTGACGCTATGCTGCTTGCTGCGGTTGCTGCAGTTGGAAATGATGCAAATGCCGATGCGGCCACGAAGGCTAGGGAACATGTCGAACAAGGTGGATTTGCAACAGCTTTAAATGTTTCTTGTGCCGGCTCCAATCCTATTTACACAGTTCAGAATGGTTTGGTGTTGCAAACACGGCATAGGCAGCAGCTGCTGGCCTGGCTGTGGCCTTCCTAGGAGCAGAGATTGGTCTGACGGCAGAAGAACAAGCACACTTTGCGGCTCAAGCAGCACAAGCGGCTGCAACAGCTGCCTCAGGCGAGTTGGGTTCGTTCGGTGTTCGAGGTGCAGGTGCCAGACTTGGCATCCTTCCAGCCGACTTTGTGTGTTTGGGCTCCGAAATGGGCCAACTTGTTCATTAGGCTCCACTTACTTGTCATGACAGCTGAAAGAACGTTCGATGGCTCGATGGCAATGCATGATAGGTGGAGGCGATGCTGAAGATGCAGCCACTGCAGGCGTTTCCCATTTAGATTTTCCGGAGATTGTGCAATGAAATTCAATTATCTTAGTTTTTATGTATTTTTTGTGGTTCGCATCCATACATTTAAGCTCACAGTTTTGCCTCTGAGGCATCCGTGCAAGTGGTGTGGCTGCTGTACTGTCTGGACTGCGGAACAATGCCTCATCCACAGTGGCAGAGATTGCTTTGGGCCTAGTCTTGTTTCATTTTCTTCCCAGATATCCGACCCAGCGCCGTGACGTGCGTTTCACAGCGCGAACAAGGCGGCCTTAGCTGCACAGGCGGCAGCAGACACGGCTGTACGCTTTGGCCTCTCTCCAATTGATGTGGTGCGGGCTGCTGCCATGGTCGCAGCGGATGCCTGACAAACATGGAGTGAGATATAGTGAGATCAAGAAACGACGACATGAAGAGGAGACAAGGGTGCAGGAGGTGTCAGAATCTCTGGTATGTTTTTGTTTTTGTTTTTTTGATATACAACCTAGGAGCAGCTAGTACAACCTTGTAGGAAAACCATTCCACAAGAATTTCAAAGCACAACCAGCTTGTGAGTTTGGATTACATGTGCTTCTCTGAGGAAGCTGCTGCTTCTCAAGGTGCATCAGCGGCCGAGCAGGCTGAGAGCAGTTGGATATATGGGATGTATAAGACAAGAGTACCGAAACCATGGCATGTCAACATCTTCAAAAGACATGTTCTCTTTATGAAAGCCAGCTGATGGGCTAAGCCGAGCTGTGGACGTGCAAACGAAGTGAGTATAGGCGGTGTGGGGGATGGGGGCGGTGCAAGCGCAAAAATGACTATGTCTGCATCTTTCGATCACAATTGTGTGAGCAAAACTGCTTGGTGTTGTGGGTAGGACCATGTGGATATATTTGGTTTCAAGCGCAACTGAACCGCGACTTGAAGCTCAAGTGAATGACTGGCTCCAGATCATTGCAGCGGAGAACAAAGATGGAACGAGTAGTCAAAGAAACATTGAGGGGCGCTGGCTTTCGTTTGCCTACATTCTCAAGCTCTTGAGCCACAATTAGCTGGTTTGACAGCTGCTTTGAGGCTGCTTACACCCGACCCACCATGTCTATATGACTTTCAGCATGGTTCTGTGGTTTTGATGTGATCTGATAATAGAGTCGCGTTAGACGTTGGTACCTTGCAAAAGGCTGCATCTTCAAACCCACGGCTGCTCGATGTGAACCTGTAAGTGCAGATTTTGTGGCAGGCGCAGTACTTTGTCAACCTCGAGCGCGGATTTCATAGTGGTTGCAGTGCTTGTGAACCTTGATGTGCAGATTTCATGGCAGGCGTAGCGCTTGTGAACATCGAAGTGTGCTTTTTGTGGCAGGCACATTATTTGGTGTACGCGTGCTCTTCCATGTGTGCTCTCGCGCGTGCAATTCTTCATGACAATTTCGAGCAAGCGACTTGATGCATCCTTGTTCGTGGTTCCAGGATCCGCGAGCCATTTGTTTCCTTCGCACTCACCTCGGTGTGCGGAAAACCGTGTTCGACCGTGCGCAGCGCATGGCCTTGTTAAGTTGGCACCGGAGCTAGGTTCTGGGCTGACCCTCGTCTTCGACTATGCCTGTCGCCCGACAGGTCTTTGACCTTGCTGCTGATGACACAGAGGATGGCTCTGAGCTGCATGATGGTTGGGATGACTTCGACCCGATCGGTGCGGCGCCCTCTGAGTCAGGTTGGTCAGAGCCCAGACATTCGATCCAGGTTGAGCATGAGCCCGAGCTTAGCACTGCCCACGAGGCCCCTAGCTTGTCGACTTCACCCGCTCCTTGGCGATGTTCGGTCTGTGATTTTGACCGCTACCACATGGTTGGCTCCACTTGGACTTGCAGCCGATGCTCTTCGACTGACTTCTACCTGGCCACGAGGCCCACCAAAAGGGTCACCAGCAGCGGCACTTGGATGTTCGTCCCTCACGGGACTGGTGGTTCTGAGCCTCTTGAACCTCCGGCTCAAGCTACACGTCGCCGGAAGAAGAAGAAAAGAGTGACCACTGGACCTCCGAGCGGACCACCGAGCTCGACCGCAGAAGCTGATGAGTGGCCGGAGTCGGAAACGCCGACGGTTGACCCAGTTGTTGAACCTGACTGTTCATCCTCATCCTAAGGTCCAACCAGGTCCTCGGCTACCAAGAGCACGACCTCAACGAGACCATGGAGCTGCAGCCCCTACACCCCATGACAACACCCGGAACGATGTGAACACTGTCGACGCCTTTGCCGGGACCAGCCCTCAGACGGCAATGAGTCAGACCTCGGACAGTTCCACGACATGGAATTCCCGGAAGGGACCTGAGCCTGGCATCAAATGGAAGTCGGGCCAGTATCCTGCTGTCCCGACATGGAAGTACGACAGTCAGGACATGCGTGCCTTCGCAAAGTACAAGAAAAAGATAGCAATCTGGCAGCTTCAAATGAAGGCCTACGCCACGCCGAAAGAGCAGGCCCTGTTGGTCTACAACTCCCTCACGGGAGAACCTGAACAAGAATTGGAACACATGGCCATCGAGGACTTCTATGTGGAGGACGGAGTCCAGCGAATTCTCCAAAAGCTGCAGCGACCTTTTGAACAACGTGTCATTTACCAAAAGAGGAGATTTTTGCAAGACTTCGAACAGATTCGCCGCTACCAAGGCGAAACGATGAGGGCCTATGTGCTTCGCTTTCGGCGGGTGCAACGCTCGCTGACAGCTGTTGGAGTGAATTTGGAGGCCACGTTTGATGGAGAAGCATTGGGTTCAAGATTGTTGGACCGTTCAGGCCTTTCCCATGCTGATCAACGCCTCATACTGGTGGGCGCGCAACAAAGCCTGGACTTTGAGGCCATTGCTGAATGCCTCACACTTCAGTGGCCAGAGTTCAGAGCTCCTCCACCAGTCGTGAACAAAGACGGCAAGGGCTTGGGCAAAAGTGGGAAGAACAACATGAGCACTTCATCCTCCTCGAGCTCTACTTCATTCACCTCCTCTTCACAGACTTCCAAAGGAAGCGGAAAGGGGATTCCTCGGCGACAAGCCTTTGTCGCGAACGCGACTGAGGCACCACCTGAGGACGATGATGAGTTTCTCGAGGTGATCGACGAGGAGCCCGAGCAGGAAGAAGAAGGCCATGAAGGCCATGATGAGACGGCAGATGCCGGAGAAGCAGATGATGACGGCCAAGAGGCCGACCTTTCGGAGATCGCGGACATCCTCACCGTGACGGCTCGCAAGCTCTCTGGAGTGACGCTTGGAAGGAAGTTCACCACCTCCAATCCATCGAAGAAGACACGGCTTCCTCCAGAAGAGCTCAAGAAGGTTACTCACTGTTCCGCCTGCGGCGGATTGGGCCATTGGGCCGGTGATGCACAGTGCCCACATGGTGCAAAAAGCACCAAAGGTGGATCCAAGGGGAAGACCCCGTTCGTTCATGACAAGAGCAACAGCCAAAAGGGTTCCTCCTCTTCGTACCGCGTCAGCGTGGTTCATCATGATGGAGGCCTTGACATTGTTGAGGGCACCCCTGAGGATTCACATGGGTATGGCACGATGTTCACCATCAACATGGTTGGTTTTGAGTCCACCTTCACCGTTCATGAAGTTCAGTGCACCCCCAAAGTTTTTGAGGGTATGATGATCATCGACTCGGCGTGTCAACGGAACTGCTGCGGCCAAGAATGGTTTGATCACCACGTCGAATAGCTCAAGAACTATGACATGGTCCCCAAGATCGTTGATTGCCACGAGACCTACCAGTTCGGCAAGGGATCCCCAACGATAGCAACAAAGAAGGCCTACATCCCTTGCGTTATTGGTGGACAACCCCTTTTACTTGGTGTGGCAATCCTCCCAGAGAAGATCCCCTTTCTTGGCAGCAACAGCTTGTTGGACATTTTGCAAACCAACCTCCGATTGCCGGTTCGACGAGTCGAGTTCGAGCTTTTGAACATTGCAGTTGATCCTTTTCAAGTTGGAGGTCATTTTGCTATCAAGTTGTTTGATTGTGATCGTTCACAAGCACCTCATCGATGGCATGTTTGGAAGTTGTTTTCTCAGCCGCATGTTTGGAAGTCACCACATCCTGAGCTTCTCATTCCACCGCTTCAGATGAGTGCCCAAGCATCTCGCAATTCGCTGCGTAAGCCCTTGGACGATGAGACACGCACCGCCCCCATGGTTGGTGGCATGGAAGCGAATGGTGCTAGCCATGTACGGCTTTGTCTCCAACCTGATCACCTACATGACCAAGGCGGCAAGACTCCATTTGGTTCCACGGGATTCCTTTGGAGGGCATTCCCACCTTACGACGCTGTTCAAGCTCCAGTCCCCTTGCCGAAGGACTGCGACCATGCCAAAGTGAAGCGTCGTGGCAACGCTCACGGACGGTTTGCAACCTGCCTCACATGCCACATGAAGTGGCGATGGAACGCAACCGTCGAGAAGTGGGAAACAAAGGTCTCATCGCCCAGCTCTTCTACGCCATTGCAGCCATTGCCGGCGCCATCCTCAGCAACGATCCTCAGGGATTCAGAAGCGGCAATGTTGAGCAAGGGAGTCAAAGCGAAGCCAAAGCCGACGAAGCGGCCGGGCTATGCCAAGACTACTTCATCGGCGAGCTCTACGGCAAGCGCGTCCCAGAGGTTCTGGACGGACTTCAGTGCATGGGAACTGAAGACGGAACACCTGCCGGCGGACCTTCAACACGAGGTATGGCAGATCTGCGAACAAGCTTCACCTCTGGACGCCGAGCCCGCCAACATGACGGAGTACATGTTCCTGAACGAGCTCAGCTTCGAGGCTCAGCGCACTTCAATGGAGAAGACGGCAGATCAGCGCCGACACCAGCGCCTCATGGAGCTCGGAGTGATTCCACAGCAGGAGATCCACCTGGACGACGAGGGCGAGACCTTCGACTGGTCACTCCAGGACTTGCAAACCGCCTAAGAGGCATGTGGAAAAGGAGCTATGAGGTCCTCGAGATGGAGCGCAAGACCTACCTGGTTGGCAAGACCGTGGCAGATCGACCTCCTCCGTATGTTGATTTGCTTGAACTGTTTGCAGGCACCGCCACGATGTCTTCATTGGCCCATCACTATGACCTCATCGCCATGGAGCCCCAGGACTTGCTCTATGGCCAGAACTTCAAGGACCGTGCAACCAGAGACCGGATCTTCCAGATGATCAAGACCTATAAGCCCTGGCTGGTGCCCATGGGCGTTGATTGCCGGCTCTGGAACCACTTCTCCAAGAACATGAATTGGAGCTCTTCAGATCGGCTGGCACTCCTCGAAGAGCTTCGTGAAGAGGAACGGGAACTTCCCCGTTTTGCGACAAAGGTGGCAAGAGAACAATTGGCCAATGGTCGATACTTCCTCATCGAGAACCCTCTTAGGTCTGATCTCTGGACCCTCGATGAGATTCAAGCTTTGATGCAAGAGCCTGGCGTATGGTCTACGACCTTGGATGCTGGGGCCTTTGGTGCTGAGATAGATGGCGACCCCATCATCAAGACCATGCGATGGATTGGCAATCAACCTGGCTTGCATGAGGCCCTTGCATCGACGCCTTTCACCTTTGGAGCGTCAATACTGCAAGCCCATTGAGGGCTCAATGACGAAACCTTCACAGGCCTATCCAGACCTTCTGTGCTGCACCATCTTGCAAGAGCTTCGTGGATTGGTTGCGCAACATGAACCACATCGGTTTGGGCCGCCACTTCATCAAGTTATGGCAGTTTCACAGCCAACGACTGATCTCTCCCAATGGGACAAGCTCACTGAGTACGTCACTAACTGCTTTGAGCGGTCAGCAAAACGACCATACTATGTGGATGTCAAGTCCGACATGGGCAAAGAGATTTCCAACCTCCTCAGGATGGACCTGGACAAGATTCATGTCGTCTATGCACCAACCACGAGGAGAACACCTGTGAACACGACCGGCTGGTCGACTCGAGCTGCCTACCTGTCTCATGCAGACGGTACACGGGCCATTGAGATCGAAGATGTTGGTGACATTGTCTTTCCAAGGCAGCGGTTCTCGAAGCCAGTCACCTTTGCAATTTTTGCTTTTGGTCACCGCTAGAGTGTCCTGAGGCAGACAGATCCTTCTTCATCCACGACGGCCATTCCTGGACTTGTGACGGACATCAGCTTCCCAGGAGCCAAAGAAGTGACGCAAGATGTCAAGCGAGCCATTGCCAGGCTCCACATCAATCTTGGACATCCAACAGCTCAAGAACTCACCAGCCTGTTGGCATATCAGGGCAAGATCAGCGCATCCATCATCAAGACAGCCTCGCCCGGCAGCTATGCCGCGCATGCAAGCTGGACAGTTCAATGATGAAGTACAGATGGACGTCTTCTTTGGAAGGACTCTCAACAGCACCACCTTCGGCGTCCTTGGCATTGTGGACAGAGCAACTGGCTTGGAGCAGGCTGTGTTGATGGATGATCGAACCTCCGAGAACATGTTCACCCTGTTTGAGGAGGCATGGCTTCGACCGTATGGCACCCCTGTTCGAGTTCGCTGTGACCCTGACACCAGCTTCAAGGGGTTCTTTGAGCGGAAGCTTCAAAGCTTGGGATGCACAGTTGAACATTGTCCACCTGAAGCTCACCACGTCATCGGCATGGTGGAACGTCGCAATGCAGTTCTGAGGCTGACGCTGGAAAAGGTCATCGACCACATGGGAGTTGTGGACAAGCGAGATGTCAAGACAGCTCTCACTGCGACCGCCCATGCAATGAACAACATGTGCCTTTCACGAGGCCGGACGGCCTACCAAGCAGTGTTTGGTCGCCAACCTCGACTACCAGACAATGTCTTGGAAGATGAAACTGTGCTTGCCTCTTCCTCACAGGTCTACAACCCTGTGGATGAGGAGACAGACAATCCGGCACTACGTGCTGAGATGGCTCGTTGCGAGGCCATCAAATGCCTGGCTGACATGAATGCCAGTCAGTCTTTGCGAAGGGCACTTGTGAGGAAGACTCGCATCACGAAGGTTCCGGACGTGATGCCTGGGCAGAGAGTGGCAATATGGAGATGGCAGAAACGTGGAGCAAAGAAGCGAGGTGCTTGGACTATGTGCAGGTTCCTCTCGTGGGATCCAAGTCACCCTGGACGGCAAGCTTGGGTTCGGTTGGGCTCTACTACTGTCCTGACCACTGCGGAGCAAATGAGGACCGCCTTTGGCTTTGAGCAGTGGACTCCTGATGAAGAAGATATAGCGGCCCTAAAGAATGCCACGACCCAGTTTCAAGAGAGCCTCCTCGACGACCAACGTGGTCCTCCTCCAAAGGAGATCGATGAACTCCCAGCGGTTGACGAGATTGCTGAAGCTTCAACACAAACACCTGTGATGACAGCTCTCCCATCGGCAGCTGCAGCACCTGCAACGCCTGAGATCGAGCAGATTCCACCAAGGACTGTCACAGTCAATGTTGACAGCCCCACAAACATATACAAGCAGAAGCACGCAGCAGTCAATGTCTACCAGCGCTTTGGAGACGTACCACATACACCGCCAGTACAGCGGAAGGGTCGCGCTCGGACACCACCATCCCGAGGGCCACATGCACACTCCTTCCAACCGTTTCACCCTCCGGAGCAGGCACTTGCTCCGATGGCACCAGGGGACAAAACATTGACCCTTGGCGCACCTTTGGCACTACCACCACACTCTGAGGCCTTGCACACTGAACCAGCATCTCTTCATGAAGTACAACCTCACGAAGAACAAGGCGCAACAGAGGTGATGGAAGCACCGCACACAGAGACTGAGCAACAGTCGCACACAGAACAACTGGTTCCACCACCAGTACCTGAGCACACAGAAGCACAACAGATGCAAGAAGCAGAGCAACAAGCAGTTGAGCAAACAACAGCATCCGCGGCAGATGAACAAACACTGGCGCCAGCAACGGATGAGACAACACTGCCTACCTTGCCGCAGAAACGACCTTTTGACTCACTGCACACGACACTGTGGTCCGAGGAAGACGGCGCAATCGCACGGGCACCGTCAGGATGGGATGGCTCACCCGCACTCCTTTCCTATGGACCAGCATCACAACAGTGCTTCAAAGCATATGCAGCCACACACCAACGACAAAAGGACACAGCGCCAGTAGACAAAGATCCCAATCAAGTGATGTGTACAACACCACAAGCAAAGCACACCAGCAGAAGACCATGACTCGACAGGAGTCCAAGCAGATGGATCGAGAGATCCCTTGGCGGCAGATTCTTCAACTTCCACCGGCCATGATCGACAAGTACCTTGCGGCCATTGACAAAGAGGCCCTGTCTTGGGAAGAGTGGCGATCCATCCGTCCGCTCACACGGGAGGAAGCCTTGGCAGTCTACAAGGACAAGATGCTTCGACATCGCGTCATGAGATCCCGTGCCCTCTACCGGGACAAGAACTGTGGCCAAGGTGAGTTGAAGGCCAAGTGCAGAGTTGTTTTGTCTGGGCCACCAAGACCCTGATCTCCAGCAGATCACGAGAAGCTCACCAACTCCAGGAACAGTCACAGAGATGGTTCTCTACTGCCTCATCGTGGCTGGTCACAACCGCGAGCTCTTTGACACCGACCACGAATGGGTGTCTTGGTCAGGAGACGCTGCAACGGCATTCCTCCAAGGCAAACAGGAGGACAGTGAACGACCAGCTCCACTATACATGAAGGCTCCAGCTGATGGCTTGATCGCCATGACCTCACGATCAAAATGCGCGCTCTACCAGATCCTGGGCAACGTCTACGGCCTAGCGAATGCTCCAGCTCTCTGGACAGGTGAAGTCTCCAAGAGATTGTTGGGCCTGGGCTACACCAGGCACGTCTTCGACCAGATGCTCTTCTACCTGGTCAATGAGGCTAATCAGATTGTCAGCCTGGTGATGATTTATGTGGATGATTTTTTGGGTCTCCACACAAAAGACCATGACGTCTCGGCACTGCAGAGCCTCTTCAAGTGGGGCGAGATCCACACCTTCAGCCCCGACAGCAAGATCACCTTCAAAGGCAAGACCTTGGAGCTGAAGAAGAATGAAGCTGGGCGCTATGTCATGGACATCACAATGGAGAAGTTCATCCAAGGCCTTTCGCCTGGAGTCATCCCTAAGGGCAGGCTTCAAGAAGATGAGCTGCTGTCACCAGCTGAGTTCCAGGAGTTCCTGTCAGTATCCGGTTGCTTGCAGTGGGCTGCAACTCAAGCCCGACCTGAAGTCGCACCAGCGCTGAGCTTGGCAAATCATGGAGCGCTCGCAACCATCCATGACCTCCGCAGCCTCTATGAGTCCCTCTCCTACCTCAAAGAAACGCCTTCTGAGGGCATCAGGATTCAGGACGTGGCTGTGGGCAAAGCAACGTGGGTCCTCACGTTTACGGATGCCTCATGGGCTAATGCCCAAAGAAGTGGAAGCCAGATCGCAGTGATCACTGGCTTGACCTCTGAGGAGTGCAAGGTTCGACCAGTTCCCTTTGCACTTGTGGACTGGCGCTCGGCTCGGAGCGCTCGTGTTTGCCGCTCCACCTGCGCTGGCGATGAGGGCAGCGATCGCGGCAGCTACCTGAACATGTTCCTCAGCGAACTGACGCATAGGTGTCCTGCTCACCAGGCAGGTTTGAGGTTGAACTACCTCCAAGCCACAGACTCAAAGAGTTTGTATGACGCTGTGGTACAGCCCAATCCGTCACTGACGGATCGCCGCTCGTTAGTGAATGTGAGGGCCATGCAGGAAACCCTGACCCCTTTGAACATGCATTGGGTCCCCACATGGCTGCAGTTTTCGGACGGCCTCACGAAGGCCAGTACAGTGCTCAGGGCCACCTTCAGGAAGTGGCTGACCGCACCTTTTGCGGCGCTGGCAGATCACGCTGATTTGCAAGACTGGAAGGCAGGTCTAGGAACCACGAAAAAGAAAAAGACCAGTGACAATTTCGAGCAAGCGATTTGATGCATCCTTGTTCGTGGCTCCAGGATCCGCGGGCCATTTGTTTCCTTCGCACTCACCTCGGTGTGCGGAAAACCGTGTTCGACCGTGCGCAGCGCATGGCCTTGTTAAGACTTCATGAGTCTCCCATCTCATGTGTGTGCCCCCATGTGCTTCGTTTTCCGGGCTCCTATATTCAGAAATTCTGGTCGCTTCGCAACGATTACCGCCCGCACCATTTGCTCCAAGAGAGGGGGAGAGAGAGAGAAAGAGAGCGCACAAGGAATGATTTACTGCCTATATTTTCTTTCCTCCACTGCATGCTGCCGTTCATGCATATTGTATGTTTATGGTATTTTTGTTGGAATCACTCTATTTTCGACCCCCTAAACTTTTACATGTTCAATGGGTCTAACTTATATCAACAAATGCTGGTCCATGTTGTTCTTTCGCATGTACTTCTCCGTTCCAAAAGCTTGGGTCACTACTCACCGAACGCGTGCCACTTCATGTTCTGTACGCTGCACTCCCAGATCATTTGGCACATCACGTCCAACTCAAATGTTGCAAAGCGATGCATTTTCCCTGTGTTAGTGTTTTCGCCCATCACTACTTCCCCGATTGGACGCATCTCATGATGCCGGATATGCAACTCTGTTTTATAGCAACTATGTGAATGCGCCCCAACACGCAAATGCCCTTCAGCACCTTCTGAGTGGGCAGGTTTGTGATCTCATGTGTCTGCTCACATATGCGTATATGTGCGCTCTCATGTGTGTGTCCTCGTCTCGTTGATACGTGTGCTCTCATATGCAAGCTTCATGTGTGTGGCTTATGTTCTTGCGTGCAGCCAATGAAGGCAGCAGCCGCTGCTGCAGCCGCTGCAGTCATAGGCCTCCAACAGGGACTTACACAGGAGGACTGCGCCGATGATTTGAAGATTTGTGCTTGCTGCTGATGTATAAGAACGAGCTGAAACTTGACGATGATTAAATACATGAGTAAATGCAGCGTGTTCTGTCGTCAAGTGCCAGCCTAGTAACATTTTTAAACCGTTTTTTGGCATCATGTTTCCTGCAACAGGAGAGCTCCTTTGCTGCTGCCGCTGGAGCTGGAGAAACAGCTCAACGGATATCTGCGGCGGCAGGAGATTCAGGAACCTTGCAGGCCTGAACGGCAACAGATTCTCCACACAATCTGTACAACCACATTGGTAGGGAGACATCCGCCTGCGAGTTTGCATCCTTTGATTAGGCGCAGAAAGCTGCAGAAGCTGCAGCAGCAGCTGCTGCTGCCTGTGGTTTGAATGCTGAGCATCAGGCCTGTGCTTGCTGGGCGAGCTCGTTTTGCTCTTGAAAAATTGAATCCGACAGTCTCTCACACAACTCACTTCCACTGCACAAGAGGATTGATATAAGAGGGACTTTCATTTTTTGAAAAGATAGCTTTAATCCCTGACTCATCACGAAAGCTAGCGAAGCTAGCTGGAGTTACTCTTGCGATAGCAAGGTTTCTTTCGACTGGGTGCAAATCCTAACCCCTGATTTTTCAGGTCGAAGCCCCCCCCCCCCCTCCCCCCTCCCCACTCCCCACTCCCCACCTCCCCTCTCCCCACCTCCCCTCTCCTCCTCCTTGTCTTCCTCCCATCTTCCCTCCGTCCCTCCCTCCTCCCTCTTCGCAAGTTCGACTCCGTCCTGTCGTCGCTCTTTGGCATGCGGTTAGCGTTGCGTATCTTGCGGCCGCACTCGCTCACTCTCACTCTCACTCTCTCACTGTCTCACTGTCTCTCTCATCTCTCTCATCTCTTTCTCATCTCTCTCATCTCTCTCTCCTCTCTCTCTCCTCTCTCTCTCTCTCTCCTCTCTGTCTCTCGTCTTTCCGTCTCTCTTCTCTCTCTTCTCTCGCAGGAGGATCCGGGCAAAGAGCCACATATAAAGGACTCTTCACCCCTGCCTCCAAAAAGAGCGCCGTGTTTTTTCCTACCTCGCTGCCCTCCACTTTCCCATTCTGGAGCGCTAGCTTTCGCCCCCCCCTTGGCCTCAAGTTTCATTTTTCCAGAATGGGCAATTCATAGCCTCGGCTTGCTTTGATTGTGTCGACTATTAAAGTAACTGCCTTGGGAGCTGATCAACAACTTTCTGTTTCTGGAAACTTCAGAGCTAGCCTTTCTCTTCTCCAGCCTTCTTGCTTATCATGAGTGCTTTGTTGTACACTAGCACATTGCATACACTTTGAACAAAGCAGCGCTACAGAATCCTTCACAGGCCTGAGTGACAATTAGACTTTGATTATACACATGTCAGTGGGAACATATTTCTTGCATGTTATGAGAGATCATTTGATGCTGGTACGGACCCCACCTTTAGCCTTTGTTTTTCATTGTATATATATATATAAACAAACCCTTTCTGCATGTCACTAGTGTACACACTATCTCTCGCACCTTCCCACTGCAGGGAAATGTTCTTGTAGGTATTTTCTTTGATGTAGCCAGCATTTCAAGCTAGCAAGACGTCCATACATTGTGAGACATTCGCAAGTTCAAGGTCAAAGCAGCTGCAGCTGCTGCTGCAGACGCTGCCTTGCAGGCCAAAGTGCAGGAGAATTCGCTTTGCAGCATTGGTCTGGGACAAACCAAGCTGTGTTCTGTCCATTTCAGATATGATCACTAGATGTTCTGGTTGAGGCCTCCCTCACTTCTGAAGAGCAGATCAGCCCCTCGGACGGCACCTGGCTGATCCACAGCACAAACGCGAAGGAAAGACTTTGGACCCGAGACCGCGAAAGTTTGTTGTGACTGGTTTGTGTTGGTTTGGTGGATGTTTGCTTGACCTCCAGGTGCTGCTGCTGACGCTGCAGCCACCGTTGCACTTCAAGCAGGTGGTGTGGGGCTGTTTGTTGAACAAAACGGGTACTCGGGTCCTTGTGATGGGACAAGACTTGGAGAAAGCAATCTCATAGAATGTATATAACATTATATACTTATATAACATAGCCAATCAATCCCAAAGCCACAGCAATATTAGTGTCGGGCTTGCCATCACATTATCGGCTGCAACACGAACAAAAGGAATCGACGATGAGTCGATGAGAACTGTTGTGGGGAAACTAGAAGAGTGGCTTTGCTCATCTTGAGGAATCTCTAGACAAGGCTCCAAACTCTCACAAGCTTGCAAGGCGCACACACACACACATGCACAATGTGGCTGCTGAACTCCTCAGAATGTTTGCTGGCCTGACTTTGTGTCTCTATAGATTTTAAACATTCTTATCAGTTCCTCTCTGCAAAGAATGAATCAGGTTGCATCGCACTGCATTCCCCAGGCATCGATGAGGCCACGACTGCAGATCTCATAACGAATGCCAAGGGTGCGGCAGCAGCTGCCAACGCTGCGGCTTCTGGTGCCAGCCTTCAAGATCAAGTCGCAGCCGCTGCGCAGGCACCATCGTAGCAGCAAGGTGTTTACAGAAGATGATTTGGTGAAGCATAACATGGCAAGTACCAGTTTAAAGTCTATGCTTGCTAAAGCTTTCCTTGAAGCAAAGCTGGCCTGCACTCCAGTCGCCTCCACCGGCCTCTCTGACAGGCAGCTTTCGCTGAAGCGGTGGCGCAAGGACTTTTGGATACCCAGCAAGCAATTTTGGCAGCAGCAGCGGCGGCTGCAGCAGTTTTCCAAGACCAGGTTCTTTCGTATGACAGCAGCTACACATGCTCCGATGGTGCTGCTTGTGCAGGGAACCAGTGCTGCTCTGCAAGCGAGGCTTGCCCCTCTGCTCATCCCGCTTTTAATCAATGTGGCAACAGCCATGCTCTGGTGCTAGCAGATGGGCAGATAGCAGCTGCAACACAATGGGCGACAGAAATCGCAGGCCAGGTGGGTCTTGCTTCCGTGAAGTTTGACTTAGGAGCCCAAGCAGCTGGAGAGGCAGCAGCCGAAGCTTCTCGGGAACGAGGCGACAACTGCACGGAGCAGGCCACCGCTGCAGGGATGGCTGCAGCAGCTGCAGCAGCCAATGGCAACCTTACTGCCCGGGAGCAGGTTGCCTTGGCAGCAGCCGCTGCAGCAGCAGCTGCTGCCAGATCCAGCGCTTTAAACGGCAATTTCGAGTCTTCCACAAATTGCTCTTCCAAACAGGGTCAGATGGATGCTGCGGCGAGAATAGCAGAAGCAGTTGCTCGTGCAGCTGGTTTGCCTATAGAAGTTGTTCAAGCAATTCTTGATGCCGTGAGAGCAGCCGAATGGGAGGCCACACATCCCAGCAACAGAACCACCACATACACCTCTACTTCATCCACTGTGACTTCCACAACAACACTTCCTGTGGTCATATGCTTGCCAGATGAATCAGATTGTAGCCACTATATGCTACACTCTCAGAGGTGTCAAGCAAATTGCACCAACGAGGACGATATCCTCTCTGGCTATCAAACATGCATCATAACTTCCAATACATCTGCTCGGTATTATGGAACCTCATATTGCATTGGAGCGAATGACCCTGCAGTAGCCCAGGAGCAGCGAGACTATGTGCTCGGCAGTGTGACAGTCAATGTGAATAGCACCACTCCAGTCACGACAGCCAAAGCCCGGGAGGCCTTAGCGTCTCTGATAGGCATCCATCCAGATCAAATCGAGGAGCTGAATGCCACCCTAGTTGGGGACTCCTCAGATGGTTCTTCGTCCTATGTCGTTGACTATGTGATCAAGACATGGAGCTTGGAGGAAGCCCAACAACAAGATCCCACAGCTACTGACGTCATCAGCGCATCGTCAATCCTGTGGTACTCCTATGCTGTGAGGACGCAGGCCAGCGCCTTTTTGTGACACTCGTGATTGCTGAAGGTGAAAGAGAAGACATGCCAGTCCTTGAAAGAGTTGAGTTCAGCCGAACGAAGGACTCCGTAGGACCTAGGATTCTTGTTGATCCCAAAAGCGCTCCATGCGAAGAGAGACCGCTTTCTGCACCTCCCAGGCATCGCCTCAGCAAGCTGCTTTTGTGAACTTTCTGCAGGCTCAAGAGGCAGCCGAAAGAGATGCCTTCAAATGATTTCGGTCATATGACAAACATATAAAACAATATCAATATGACAGGATGATATCACCCTGACTATGGTGTAACATTTGCAATCCAAGTTGTTGCGCGCAGGTTGAAGTCATTTCCTTGAAGGAATCGCCCGTCCTGCCCACGATTCTGAGCGTCACGACTATTTCCGAGGCATGGAAAACAAGACTGCTGTCGCTTGTCAACTCACGTCTCTGTCGCTTGGAGCACTCCCCCGCACTCTCTCATGTCCCAGGTGCCTCCCAGCAGGGATCCCAGATCAGACCTCGGCCGACCTTTGGAAGCACATGGAGCTAAGGTAGCGGAGACGGCTCATCGGATCCAGACGCAGCGAGTAGCTTAGGCAAAGGATTTGGTGAGCCTCTGGACCATTCCAGATTAATGGTGACCTTGCTGGGGCAGGCATGGCCATAGCAGTGGTGACCTTGCTGGTGGTGGCCGCTCTATTTGTTCTGGTCGTCAGCCCCTAAGACGTCATGACCTGACGGCTCCCTGCCTTCGACAACTCTGACAGCTTGGTGGCAGGTTGTTTGCTGCAGCAAGATACAGCAAGCGAGGCTTGTTCAAGCCAAGGCGGAAAAGGAGGCAAGAGAATGCAGAATGTGTGAGAAAGCAAAGGAAACATGCATTCTTCACCTGCACAAGGCAATGCAGGAGGTTGCAAGAGCCGAAGAGATGCAAGATAATTTCGACATGGTCCGTACCAAGATCAGCGTCATGCTGCGGGATGCCTGGTAACACCTAGCTTGTTTCACGGTTTTAGCTTTGATTGATTGAAGTTCAACTCTTGTTTATTCTTGCTACAACATTGCAAAGAGTCAAGTTGCAGATGCTAGCTGCTAGTTGTTTTTCCCAGATGCTCCATGTCTTCAGAGCTTGGAACGGATGCAACTCCTAGGCCCAAGCTCGAACCCGGGCACGGGCCAATGGTTGGCCGCATTCAACATGTCATGGAGGAGCTAAGAGCAAGGGTGCACACTGAGAGCGCACTGTTTGCGTCGATACCGCGTGAAGTTGATACCTGCTTCAACAGCTTTGTTTCGCTTCTCTAGGAGAACGATTTCGAACCAGTAGATGACGTCCTGCCCGATGAGCGAGAAACTCTCCAGAGTAGTGGCCGCCGGCGAAGTCTCCGAAACTTTGCCCAGGCTTCGGCTTCGGTGTTCCCGAATGGTGTTTGCAGTGTTTGGCGGTTTGGTGCCATTCCAACTCTTGAATGAATGATGCTCAATCTGTGAGATCCTTCCATCGCTAACTTGACTTTGATAGGTTTTTCTCAGGTGAGATTGGCTGGATGATAAAACCCAAGCTTCTCAGAATCTCACTGACATGGCAGGCAGATGCCTTCACTCTGGACATTGGCGATGAGGCCACATGTGAGTTGGCATCATTTTTGCTTGTCTGGACCCTGAGCTGCTGCCTCAGTCCCATTCAAAAGGGGATTGCTTCAAGGGTGAGTCTTGAACCATGTGAAGGTCCTCAAGCTGGCTAGAATCCACAGCTCCACATATCAAACACTGATGCCGGGGTTTGACATTTAGACCAAAGCACCATAAAGTCTAAGAGTCAAGGAACACATTGCTTTGCAGGTTCTGTCTCCTGAAGATAGCGCAGCACTCAGGGCAAGCTTGCAACACAGGGCAATCAAACGTGGATCCGAGAAAGGACTCGCAATTCAATATATATATATATATCCTATTGGGGCTCCACATATCTCGGCATACTGGTGTCTTGAATGACTCTAGTTGAAGAATTGGATAGTTGGCATGCGAAGTGCTACCAGCTAAGTAGCATGTGTTGAATGGCGGAATTGTCTCCTGCACCTGTCATCACACTTTCAAGCGAGGAACGGCAGTTGCACAGATGACTGGTCGGAACGAAAAAGACACAGAGCCTGCTGCTTAGATTCAAGTGGTTTGTCAGAGCCAGTTTTTGGTCTTCCACCGATTTGCACACCATGTGCTTGTGTCTTTAATGCTGCCAGGCGAAGTCTTCGTCGTTTAGGCAAGCTGCAAGCTCGTATTTCCATTTTGTCAATCAAATCTTTCTATATATATATATCTGTATATGTGTCCAGCTCTCACTTTCAGTGGCGATAGTGCAGGATGGAATACTCAACTTTTTTCGACCCAATGGGAAACGTCATCTTTCCTAAGCTTGCAGGTTTGGATGAGGCGGATTTGTCGGACAACAGAGGCGTTTTTGGCACACAGCCTGCTGGCTGCAGAATGAACCTGCTGGTCGCTCGGGTCGCTCGGGTCACTGAGGTCAATAGCTTCTGCTGGCATTCCGGATGATCATGGCCCGCTTGCATGTCTTAGCAGTTGGGCGAGGTTGCGTTGAGATGATTCAAAAACGGACCAACAACCCTTGTCCGGCCATGTTCTACCACTTTTGACTTGTTCTTCTCACGAGGAGACTTTGCATTTGTTTGAATGTTCTTTTCTCAAGCGTAGCCGTGGCAGATCTTGATCCAACTCCCCCTGTGTTCCCAGAGTACTCCAAGCCACTTTTTTTGGGCCAGCAAAGAAGTAGTGCGATGGCTGGAGACAGTAAGACTTGTTGAAAGTAACACCTGCCACTGCCCCAGGCATCTCCATCCCAAAGTTTCTACTGGGTGCAAGTTCTTCATGATTTCTAGGGCACAAAGCCTAAAAACAGCTGTCGCCATCAACCAACTCTGAACAACGAACAGTGCTTTTCTGCAAGAGATGCTGTCGCCAGGTGCTGATGCACCTTCGACTTCAATCAAGCCGTCGCCGGTTGTGCCCGGAGTCCCAAGACTCCGTCCAGACTCGAAGTCATACGACTTCTCCAAAAAGAATTTGTTTTTGCAAAAGTCCATAGCAAGCACTCACTCATGAGCGGTAGATCATCTAAGATGACACGCACAAATCAAGAAGCTTGTACATGAGACCGCAACTTTGCCCGAGCAAGAAAAGCTTCGCATGGTAGCGGAGCCTGAGAAGCCAATCCCGTAGGGATTGGTGGAGGCTCTTGTTTTTTTTTCATTTGGCGCCATAGGCCCTTTGCCCGCAGTGGACTACATCCTAAGGTTGAAGAAGGTCCCTGAAGTTGAGATTGGTGGCCATGGCTGGAGTTGGAGAAGCTGGAGCTTCGCCTTCCTCTGCGGCAGGAGGTGGAGAAGGGCGAGAGATCGCCATGAGGATGATCCAAGCCGCTGAAGCGGCTGCTCTGGCTGCGCAATCGGCCGCGGATGCCCTTAGTCGACGGCAAGGTGGAGAGGAAACTTGGTTTAAGGTTTTGCCAAAACCCTCACAGCTGGACGCAAAGACCAGAGAGGAAGAACTATCCCAATGGAGGGACTTCAGTTGGGGCCTTGAACAATATTTGTCCTCCCTGAACGGCATGTTCACAGAAGACTTCAAAGATATCAGGGCAAGGCCAGACAACCCGATCGACTCCAGCATCCAGTCTGATGAAGAGAAGCAACGAAGCAAATTTTTGTATTCACTGCTAGCATCCCTTGTGAAGCAACGCCCTCTCGCCATGATCCGCCAGGTGAAGGAGTCCAATGGCATGGAGGCCTACCGCCTCTTGATCCAAAGCCTCGAGCCCACCTCCAAGAATCGTGCATTAGGTCTGCTGACCATGATCTTGGAGTGGAAGCCCTTCGACATGAGGAAAGGAGGCATTCTTGGACAACTCCTACGCTTGGAAGAGGCCTTTGTGGAGTATGAGAAAACGGGTTCAAAGCTGGAAGACAACATCCGCTTTGCAGTCCTGATGAAATGCATCAGCGGACAGCTCAAAATGTGGCTCCAGCTGAACGTTGCCGAGTCCCAGGATTACCAGAAGCTCCGAGAGGCCATCGTGCAGTATGACAATGCGACGATGAAGTGGACGAATGTGATGATGCTCGGAGCTGATCCTGGAGGCGGAGAAGGTGTGGTGCCGATGGAGATTGACCGCATCAAAGGAAAGGGCAACGACTACAGCAAAGGCAAAGGCAAGGGCAAGGACTTCGACAGGAAGGGCAAAGGCAAAGGCGAGCCGAAAGGCAAGAGCAAGGGCAAAGGCTATGGGAAATCCCAGGACTTCGGCGGCAAATCCCAGCAGAAGAGCGCTGGCAAGGGAGAAAGCCAGAAAGGTCAAAAAGGCAAGTCAGACCAAAAGACTTGCTTCACCTGTGGCAAAGCAGGACACTTTTCGAAAGATTGCTGGCAGAGGCTTCGACAGGTAAGCGAAGAGACTCCCAATGCCAAACCGAGCGCAGAAACTGGGACAGTGGCTTCGAGCACTACCACTTCGAGCCAAGGTGCAAGCTGGAAGTCTGGGTCAGTGAAAAGGGTTGAAGGAGTTTCACAAGTTGAATTCGAGAATGAGCCCATGATTTTTGACTTGAGGCCAATGTCGATGCCGAGCACAGCTGGTAGACAGATCAGAATGGTACAGTTTTTCTCCATCTCTGAAGAGCACGAGCCCAATGACGACCACGTTCAGGAGATCTACCACATCATGGCTGTGCGAGGGCATCAGAATTGCATGCGAGAAGAGGATCAAGTAAAGGTGATCATCGATTCAGGAGCCGATGCAACCATCCTTCCAAGCTCCTACTTGGATATTGGCACCGAGTTGGATGAAGGCGCACCCAAGCTTCAAGATGCTCAAGGAGTACCAATTGAGGTGCGCGGCTACAAGCAGGTCTGCTTCATTTTCAAGGCGGACAACGACAAGGAAGTGCAAATCTTCGACAAGGCCCACTTCTCAGATGAAATTAGCCAACCCATCATTTCG